TTGTCAGCTGATAATAGTAATGCCTCTTCTGCCATCTGATGTCCTGACATCAGAGGGAGCTGCATTGTTGGTCGATTTGTTGTTCAGGAGCACCTCTGATGTTCATGGCAACACCATCGGCCACTTCCCAAGACTCCATCAGTAAGGGAGGCCTGGTCTCACAACAACTCTCTCACTCTCTCTCTCTCTCTCTCTCTCTCTCTCTCTCTCTCTCTCTCTCTCTCTCTCTCTCTCTCTCTCTCTCTCTCTCTCTCTCTCTCTCTCTCTCCCTCCCTCCCCCCTCCCTCCCTCACAGTCAGCTGCATGAGAGATATCTCACTCTCCATTTGCTTATAATTTGGCTTTTATTCTTTAACTGAATCTGCAAAGCATTAAAATACTTGCAAACATCTGCCTGGATGGGGTGTCTGCAAGCATCCCTAATCACCAAAGGGCTAAGGCACATGACTTTTTAGTGTTATTATGTGTCTTTCTTATTTAATGTGGCTTACACTGCTTTCAACCAATATGTTACTATAGTCTCTGTTATTTAAAATTCTACTTGTGTATTAGGGTATTGAACCATATTTTTTACAATGAAACATTTTTGGTGATATAATAACTTATAAATAGTATATATATATAATTTTTTTTCTTTTCTATATGACTTTAAAAGTTTTAATCCCCTAATAGTCAGAATCTGATATATAGATCTCACCGCACCTTTTTAGTAGTTACTACTAACACTTTCTATATTACTTGGCAAAAAATGATAATTAATACTTTTTGAATAATGCAATTTCTTTCAGGTGGTAACAGAGGAAGTGTACAAGCTCTTAGAGACAGAATGTGGTCTAACACGAGCAAAGGTCCCGTACAACTGCAAAGAGGACGAACCACATACTTTTATATTTGTGTCAAAGGATGTGATGACCAATGACAAACTCATGGTACTCATTCATGGCAGTGGAGTCGTGCGGGCAGGACAATGGGCTCGCAGGTTAGTCATATGAGTTCTTGTATCCTTGCAGAATGATGTGTGAAGTTTCCTGTTTTCTGTATGCTGGGGTTTAATTTCAAAATAGCTGTAGTTTTTATGTACTCTTGAGGTAGCAGATTGATATTTTTTTCATGTTGCTAGACATGATTTAACAGTTAATGCCACTGCAATTTTATTTGGATATGTGGATTCACAAATAAGTACCTTTATTGTAAATGGTTATTGAGTACTGACACCACAGGAAAGGAACACAAAATACCCTACTGTAATCAGTGAAGATTATCTCAGATTTCTTACCCTGCTTGCAAGGTATTTAAATAGATAAGTAGCACCAGTTCCATATAGCCTGTTGAACCCAGAAATGAAATTGACTTTTTCCCTAGACAATTCTGACAGTATTTTATGGTATGAAACACTTTGTTATCATAAGTAAAAGCCTGAAATTGTTCCTTTACTGTTGGTTATTATAAGAACATCAAGTAGATTACACAAAATATTTTTTATCTAGCTACATCTGACATCTCACTGCGCATCCTCATCCTCATTGGCTAAACGCGGTGATGTTATTTAGTTACATTGCATTTTCACTCCTGTCAATCTGTGTGATATATTATGAGCATATTTTCTTTGAAGGTTGTTCAGTAATGCCGATGGTAAACAAATAAGTTCGAAAGATAGAAAAACAAAGAAAATAAGGAATATAAAGATAACCTATTAATATTTGCAATGTATTGTCTCGAAGGAAGGGGGATTTATCTTGGCAGCTGCCAACTAGAATTTTCATTGAGACAGAGTGGTGCTTTGACTATTTTGAGCAGTTGTACTGGGCTGATCCACCAGCAGTTAACTTAGATGTGGGTAGTGTCAAGATTCCTTTGCCGGATCCACCCATCACCCGCCGTATGCGGTATCCGAACTAAACTTAAAAGGTGAACCTATGGCAAGGGGTTTGCATGCTGTCCTGGCTGCCATCTGGCAGACTGGTACCATTCCCCCTGAGCTGTTGAAGGGTGTAGTCATCCCTCTGTGGAACGGGAAAGGGGATCAATGGGACTGCATCAATCACCAAGGCATTACACTGGTCAGTATACCAGATAAGGTTCTCCCTCACATCCTTCTGAGACATCAGAGATCACCTATTGAGGCACCAGAGACTGGAGCAATCTGGCAAGTCCACAATAGATAATATCCTTATGCTTTGAGTCATTAAGTTCGGGCATAGGCTGTTTGCAGGTTACATCATCCTCAAGAAGGATCTCTAGTCTCAGGATCAAGAGATCATGAGACTTGTTTGTTTGTTTCCCACAGGATGATCCTGCCCACCAGGTTGTCTCTATATGAAACAACCCTGGGTGGAGGAGGCCTGTGGGATGACCTAGGAAGTTGTGGCTTAGGCAGATTGATCTAACCTGTCATGAAGAGCTAGAGATGGCCAATGTTATCTTCCCAATTATGAATGATGGTGGTGATGAAGCTTTTGCCTTAAGGGCTGGTGGATTAAGGCCTTACCATGTAAAAATA